CCCCAAAACCCCAAAACCCCAAAACCCCAAAACCCCAAAACCCCAAAACCCCTTTTTTGAATTTAAAAGTTGAATGAACTGTGCTGGTCTTCTGAAATCTCATCTTCATCTTCTTCAGGCTGCTCAGGGACATAGTTAGAGAATGGATCTTTACCTTTAGTCAGCCTTTCAATCTTGGCAGCCCTGTCTTTGGCGGATTCTGAGATATGTCCTTTGACACTCTTCCCTCCCAGTGGCATTATGAGACTATCAGCCATACTTCCTGTTTCTGTTAAGTTGAAGTCTATTGTGCCAGACTCATCAATGTCTTCTATGTTTCCACCAAACTTGTTTAAGAAATTTGTACCCGAAGGCTTTGATGGTTTGGAATCAGGTAGTTTTGTAGGATGCTCTTTAGCCTCTTCCTTGTCTGTATCACTTTCTTGCAGGAAAGAGTCTGAGTAAGCTTCGTCTATATCCTCGTCAATATCATCAGTGTCATCATCTTTCTTTGTTACGGCTGGCTTTCTGATGGGAGAGATGTTGTTAGCCACTTTTGGTTGAGGTTTCTCAGGCTGCTTCTGAGCCACAGCAGGCTCAATACTCATAGTAGCTAGGTTATTCCCAACACTAAGGGTGTTCTTTTTGGCTCTCTTCTCTTGGTCAATTTTCTGTTGCCATTCTCTGTCCTTTTTCCTATTTTCCTCAATCTCCTTTTGCTTGCGTTCCATTTCTAACTTTCTTGTCTCGAATTCAAATTCTCTTTTGGCTTTCTCGTAAGCTCTGGTTTCAGACTCTTGCTCCCGGATTCTAGATTCCCGGCGTTCTCGATCGAGTTGTTTCTGGAGGTCATCCTGGATCCTTTTGGTGTTATCAGCTTCTCTTCGACTAGAGTCTGGAAATTATTTTGGAATGTCTTACCTTGTTGGAGAAGCCTGTCGATTCCTAGGAGTCTAGCTACAGAATCTCTGTCAGGGTCATAATCATCCTTGATTACCTCCTGCATGACTTTGGTGAGAGCTCTGACTCTTTGGGCTTGGTATTCATCAAGGCCTTCATCTGACATTTTGATCCTTCTGAGTTCTGAATTGAGCTTTTCAACTTCTACTTGTTTCCTATAGAGTTTGTCTTCAATGTCTCTCATAAAGTCCTGCTGACTGTCAACTCCAACTTCAGCAGTCTTAGGTTTCTTTGGTTTGGCCTCTTTCTTCTGAGATTTAGCAAGCTTCTCTTTAGTTTCCTTCATTGACTTCTGGGCCATCTCAGGAACTGGTCTTGTATGCTGACTGGACTGTAGCCTAAAGATGAATGGAATCTTACATGCTAATATCTGTCTGGAGCTCCTCTAATTTCTCAGGATCGAGGTCTGGCCTGAATCTTTTGATCAGGAATTCATAGTGCAAAGCTTGCTCATTGAGCTTCCTGTCAATCTTCTTTTGTTTTGTAATTCTCTCTTTTTGCGCCTTTTCTATTTTCTTCAGTTGTTGGAGTTGCTCTTTTCCATTTTGGCAATACTGGTGCAAGCTGTTTATTCTATTGACCATCTCACTTTGAGTGAACATCATATATTGCAAAGAGAACTGCAAAGTCTGGAGAGCACTCTGACCTTCCTTGGTTGGCTTGACAAAGGCAGGATCGTTGAAGTTACTGAAGGCTAGCTCATTCATGACTGTATTAAGCTGCTGTATGTCTCCTCTGATGATGTCCCGGACATCTACTTTATCAACTGTCTTCCAATGAGTGTATCTGTCCGGTTCTTTGAATACGAAAGGATTTTCAGCAATGAATACATTATTGGAATTACTGTAATCAATTGGTTGCTTAAGCCGATGGGTGTTATGCTCAGATCTATTGAGTTTCTGTTGTAAGTTACGGTCACCATCCAAGTCTTGAATTTCATCGATGATGATCTCTCCCTTGTTAGTCTTCTCAAAGAGTTCGCTCCCTCTTGAGAAATCATCAGAGTAATCATCGCTCATTTTAAATTTATCAATAAGTTTAAACTATAAAGGGGTTTTGGGGTTTTGGGGTTTTGGGG